CGCGGGGCCCGTGGGCCGGCAGCGCGCCCCGGCGGCTGGCGCTGGCGCTGCACCGGCGGTTCCGCGGCCTCCGGAGGGCCGCCGCCGGCACCGCGCGCCTGCTCTTCCAGCGCTTGCTGCCCTGCGGCGTCATCAAGTTCCGCTACATCTGGATCTGCTGGTTCGCGGCGCTGGCGGCGGGAGGCGCCTACATCGCCGGCGTCAGCCCCCGCCTGCGACTGCCCACGCTGCCGCCGCCCGGCGGCCAGGTCTTCCGGCCCAGCCACCCCTTCGAGCGCTTCGACGCGGAGTACCGCCAGCAGTTCCTGTTCGAGCAGCTGCCGCAGGGCGAGGGCGGCCACATGCCCGTGGTTTTGGTGTGGGGCGTCCTGCCCGTGGACACCGGAGACCCCCTGGACCCTCGCAGCAACAGCTCCCTGATCAGAGACCCTAGCTTCTCTGCCAGCAGCCCTGAGGCCCAGCGCTGGCTGCTGGCACTCTGCCATCGGGCCCAGAATCAGAGCTTCTTTGACACCCAGCAGGAGGGCTGGCCCACACTGTGCTTCGTGGAGGCCCTCCAGCGTTGGATGGTGAGCCCCGGCTGTGCCCGCCTGGGGCCTGACCTCTGCTGTGGCCACTCAGGCTTCCCTTGGGCCCCCCAGCTTTTCCAGCACTGCCTAAAGAGGATGGCTCTGGAGCAAGGCCCCCGTGGCACCCGGGACCTGGGACCCCGCTTTGATGCCCATGGCAGCCTGGCCGCCCTGGTTCTGCAATTCCAGACCAACTTCCAGTATAGTCCAGACTACAACGAGACCCACCACTTCTACACTGAGGTCAGCCACTGGCTGGCAGTGGAGCTGGGCACGGCACCTCCCGGCCTTCGCCATGGCTGGTTCACCAGCCGTCTAGAGCTGTACAGCCTGCAGCACAGCCTGAGCACTGAGCCTGCGGTGGTGCTGGGCCTGGCTCTGGCGCTGGCCTTTGCCACACTGCTGCTGGGCACCTGGAATGTTCCACTCAGCCTGTTCTCCGTGGCAGCTGTGGCAGGCACCGTACTACTCACCGTGGGACTGCTGGTTCTGCTGGAGTGGCAGCTCAACACTGCCGAGGCCCTCTTTCTCTCTGCCTCTGTTGGCCTCTCCGTGGACTTCACTGTCAACTACTGCATCTCCTATCACCTGTGCCCACATCCCGACCGGCTGAGCCGTGTGGCCTTCTCGCTGCGCCAGACCAGCTGTGCCACAGCAGTGGGAGCTGCAGCCCTGTTTGCCGCTGGCGTGCTCATGCTGCCTGCCACGGTACTGCTCTATCGCAAGCTGGGCATCATCCTCATGATGGTTAAGTGCGTCAGCTGTGGCTTTGCCAGCTTCTTCTTCCAATCTCTGTGCTGTTTTTTCGGGCCAGAGAAGAACTGTGGACAGATCCTCTGGCCCTGTGCCCACCTGCCATGGGACGCCGGTACTGGGGAGTCCGGGGGAGAGAAGGCAGGCCGCCTACGACCAGGGCCGGTGGGAGGGGCGGCTGGGTCCTGCTCAGAGCAATACGAGCTACAGCCCCTGGCACGACGCCGGAGCCCCAGCTTTGACACCAGCACAGCCACCAGCAAGCTGTCCCACCGACCCTCAGTACTCTCTGAGGATCTACAGCTGCATGATGGCCCCTGCTGCTCAAGACCCCCACTGGCCCCTGCCTCCCCAAGGGAGCTGCTGCTGGACCACCAGGCAGTCTTCAGCCAGTGCCCAGCCCTGCAGACCTCCTCTCCCTATAAGCAGGTTGGCCCCAGCCCCAAAACCCGGGCCACAAAAGACTCCCAAGGGCAAGAGGCTGAGCCCCCACAGGCCTCGCCAGAAGCCCCTGCCGACTCCCCCAAGCCCAAGGCTGCAGAGCCTCCTGATGGCCTCTGCTCCTCAGCCAGCACCCTGGAGGGGCTTAGCGTCTCCGACGAGACCTGCCTAAGCAACTCTGAGCCCAGTGCCCGTGTACCAGATTCTGTAGGCGCATCCCCAGAGGACCTGGGTGACGCTGGGCAGCCAGTACCTGAGCGAGGCCAGCTGAATGGGAGGCGGGACACCCTGTGGCTGGCGCTGAGGGAGACAGTGTACGATCCATCATTGCCCACCTCCCACCAGAGCAGCTCATCCTGGAAGGGCCGTGGGGGGCCAGGGGATGGCAGCCCTGTGGTGCTGCCCAACAGCCAGCCAGATCTGCCCGACGTTTGGCTGCGCAGGCCCAGCACCCACACGTCAGGCTACAGCAGCTGAGAGAGGCCCAGGGAGGCCGGACTGGGGCACAGAACCGTCAGGGAGGATAAGGTGGGGGCAGCACCAGGCTGGAGCCTGAAGATATTGCTCCAAATCCACGTGGTGAGGTCTTGCCCTCCAGCTATGGATTTTAAACCCTGCCATATGGTCTAACCTTGATCTGGCAGCTGCTTACTCCTCACATCTGGAGGATACCATGGAGAGGGTCTTTGGAGGGGATCTGTTTATGACCTGCTGAGGGCTTGTCTGCCCCCATAGTGTCAACCAAGGCCCCTCCCCTGGAAAAGAGGAAGGCCAGAGATGTACCTCTGGGTACCAGCAGAGGCTGCCCTGGCCCCCATCCCAAGTGACAAGAAGTTCAATGAGACTAAAGGACTCCATACTTAGGATCTTGTCGGGATACCACACTGACCAGAAGAGCCCTCAGAAACCCCTGCAGCCTCCTGGGTTTCACCTCTGTCATGGGCTCTTCATCAGGACACTTCCCTCTCTGTGAAGAGCTTCTCTGGCCAGAATTGGGCTGGAGCCTCTGTTTCCAGCTCTGCTCTCCGCAACTCACCAAACTGACCAGAAATTCTCCAACGCCAGTCACAGATGGCTGCTGGGAGTGAAGCAGGAGGAGGGGTGGTCAGACTCGGAGCATCCCTAAACTGCAGAACAGTTCCCTTTGGAAGAAGGCTCCGGTGCTCTCCCCTGTTAATAAACAATGACAATCCTTTGCATCTCTGCACCTTTAGTCTCCTTGGAATATCACCACTTCACTACAGGGTAGCCTGCAATTGTTCAAGTTCTTTCGCCTCCAGTTTATAGGTAAAGACATCGAGACTAAGCAAGGTTAGTTGATTTCTCTGAAGTCATATAGCTAGTAAAGTGGCAGAGGGGTTTCATGACATTTCACTACAACTCCCAGTCTCCTCCTGACTACCTGCCTCAGGGACATTGGCCCATGGCTGTCTCTATCCTTCACCTCTAGCACCCTCCTCCAACCTGCCTTCTCTGGTGTCTCTGAGGAACCCTTCCTCCTCCCTTGGTCCTCCACTTCTAGAGACAGCTATACTCTGAGTTCCTCCCCATTGCCCCCGTGCTTCCCTCTGGAATCTGGCTGAGTTGCCTACCAGCCCTGGGGCATCCTGGCTGATCTGAGGACATGCCTATTCCATGGCCACAGTGTCTGGAGAGGCCACACCAGGAAAAGTACTGAGGGGCAGAAGGGGTTGAGAAGAATCCGATTAAGGCAGGAACTCAGACCTGTCCTTTTCAGGAGTCTGTGAGTCTGAAGCTGCTCATCTGGTCAAGGTTCCCAGCTCCTTAAGGACAGGTCTCTGCAGGGCACTAAGCAGGCCAAAGACTGGCTCTCCTTCCCCAAGGCAAAGTGACTGACAGGGAGTTTTTGGCCCAAGTGAGAGCTCATGACACTAGGTAGCATCAACACATTTAATGAACACCTACTTTGCATATGGTATTACAAGGGAGCAGAAGTGTGGAAGGAAATTTAAACACCACCCTCAAAAACCTCTCCTGGTTGAGAAGACGTTACATACACACACAGGCATCAAATGGGTCACCAATGGCACCAAATACCCGGCGTCATCATTATTACTGAGCTCAAGTACCCAGGACTGTGTAACAAAGAAGGCTTCCTGGAGGAGAGATGTCTTGAGCTGGGCTTCAGAAGACCAAGTATCTCAGACTGGATGGGCCTTAGTGATCATCTATTCCAACAGTTTTCAAACTTTGTAGCCTCGGGACCCTTTCTTCAAAGAACCCTTGTGTGGAAACATAATACGTAAAACAGATAAAAAGCAGCTACTATGGTGGCCACTGGGTGTGGAGTGCAGAGTTAGCTCAGCCTTCTACTGCAGTCTCTCTGGGGCCCTAGGGAACCCTGCTAAGAGCTTGTCCCAGCAACTCCACAGAGTGTGGAAAAGCACTGAGTCATTTTACAGATGCGTATCAAAAAAGGGAAGGGATTTGCCTCAGGACCAAATGATAGAGCTGGAGGCAAATTAGAAGGGTCTTTAAAATTTGTGTTCTTATATTATTGAGATCTCCTACTCCAAGTAGCCCATGAGAAGTGGGGCAAAAACCCAAATGAGACATGGGAGTTGTGGAAGAGACAGTAGGCAGGAAGAGACAGTAGCCAAGATGATAGGATACCTCGGCTTCTTGAAAAGATAAGGAAATCAAGATGAGTAATTCCTGACCCCAGGAAGGAGAGGCAGTAACTAGTTTGTATCTCTCTCGGCCTCTCTGGCCTAAGGCTGCTCATCAGGGTCCTAACTTTCGTGATAACTGTGTCCCTCTGTTATCACACAGCCCATGGTCTCCTCTGAGAAAATCTTGGTCTCATCTGAGACAATGAGCCACAAGAAGGACAAGGGAATTCTTCCTCCTGAACATGAGCAGCCTTGACTCAAAAGAGTTCAGCATCTTAGTTGTTTCTCAGCAGCTCACCTAGGCTCTTCCATCCTAGCAGGTAGCTGGACTCAACAAAATCTCTTCCCTCTTTTGTGTCTTGCAAAAGGAGACATTGGTATCTGGGACTGGAGCATTAAACATTTTGCCTGAACACAAGAGTATGGAAGGATGGATGAGGGGGTGGCATCAGGGATTTAGGGACACCTTAGGACCCTACCTGGGAACTTCCTGGTCCCATTCCTGCAGGGTGTAGCCACACCACCCTTCAGGAAGGCAGATGAGCCATAGCAGCTGATGTGTCAATTGGATTTGTTCTTTACGTCACCAGGCCCCGAGGACTGAAAGATCCAGTGGTAATCTAAAACATCACCTCATACCTAGTGTGGCCCAAACCAACAACAAGTAACCCATATCAGTGGGCAATCCAGCCTTCCTCTCTAGCCCTGACTCTGCAATGTGGAACTCAAAACGTTTTCAACTTCCTTTAGGTTTCAACAGATCTATTCACTTTATTATAGGGGAATTATAATGAGTGTATGGCCCTGGACACATGTGACTTAGAAGCATACTGTAAGGCATGCAAAAACCAGTCAAAGCATTCATGTTTGTCCTGCAAAATTTAAAAACTATCTCTCCACTGAGACTTTTTTTTTTTTTTTGAGTTGGAGTCTCACTCTGTCTCCTCGGCCGGAGTGCAGTGGCATGCTCACAGCCACCACAGCCTCAGTTTACTGAGCTCAGGTGATACTTCCACCTCAGCCTTCCAAGTAGTTGGAACTACAGGTGTGTGCCACCATGCCCGGCTAATTTTTTTTTAAATTAGAGATGAGGTCTTGCCAAGTTTCCCAGGCTGGTCTCGAATCCATGGGCTCAGGCAGTCCTCTCACCTTAGCCTCCCAAAGTACTGGGATTACAGGCATGAGTCACTGTACCCAGCTCACTGAGACATTAATGAGAACAACCTTAACACTCATTTGGGACTTGAAGTTATTTCTCCTATTTATGCCACCGATCCTTGAACTCACACTCATATATGAGCATATGCGCTGTATGTTTTTAAAACATAACTTGGGGCCAGGTATGGTGGCTCATGCCTATAATCTCAGCACTTTGGGAGGCCGAGGCAAGAGGATTGCTTGAGCCCAGGAGTTCAACACCAGCCTGGGCAACATAGCAAAACCTCATCTCTACAAAATCAAAAAGTTAACCAGGTGTGTTGGTGTGCACCTGTAGTCCCAGCTACTCAGGAAGCTAGAGCAGAAGGATTGCCTGAGCCCAGGAGGTTGAGGTGAGCCATGATTGTGCCACTATACTCGAGCCTGGGCGACAGAGTGAGACCACAACTCAAAATAATAATAATAAAGTAAAACATAACTTGGCATAGTTGGTTACCAAGGGGAAAAAATTCCTTGAATTTTTGGCTCTTTGGAGACTTTTAGAGTGACAATGTTAGACAGATTGATTTGACTTTCAGAATCTTCTATTTTACTGATGCATGGCTTATCCTATACCATGAGATTCCGGCAATATTCCAGCTTGAGCCAATTTTGAAAGTGACATTTTAAAATAGATTTATAAACCAATCTTCCCCAGTCCCTTCCCACTCATTCCATTCTTCTCCCAGTGCATGACAGGACAGGAAGGCAGGTGAGAGGTTTTAGAAAGAGGATAATTGGTTTACAGCCTTCACCTGCTGTCCAGAGAGTTTCTGATCTTTTCTTCTACGGTGGCATTGTCTCCTCCTTTGGTTATACACATGGGCAATGGCAAGCCCTCTGGTACCCCATTCATGCATCAAGATCCCATTTACCTGGGGATAGGGAAACAGACATTCCTCACCATTTCTACCCTCACCCTTGTTCATAGAGACAACTGTAGCTCAAGGTCTGCAGGTGTTTGTGCTTAGGAGAGGAAATTGTAACACAATTCACCAGGAAGATAAGAAACAAAGCCACTATGTACTGTGTAAATGTCTGGCCATTCAAAGCCACCTGTGCAGAAGATCCCTGGAAGGACCTTGATAAATTTCTCTTATAACCATTACCAGGTCTCTGTGTGATTTATTCAAGTTATATCTCAACATTGGGAAGAGATCAGCAATTTACCAAAGCCACAAACATCAAACAAACAAGTGCAGTGGCACACTCATGGCCACCCCAGCATCACCCTGCTGAGCTCCGGCGATTCTTCTGCCTCAGCCTTCCAAGTAGCAGGAACTACAGGCGCGTGCTACCACACCCAGCTAATTTTTTGATTTATTGTAGAGATGAAGTCTCGCCGAGTTACCAGGGCTAGTCTTGAACCCCCGGGCTCAGGCAATCCATTCACCTCGGCCTCCCAGAGTACTGGGATTACAGGTTGAGCCACCAAGCCTGACCAAGAGCTTCTTTATTGCTAAAGAAAATCACACAGCTGAGCAGATTGATATAGATTTGCATTCATGGCCACCTACCCCTATTGAACCCTCAGGTTTGCGTAGCTAGTGTCCATTCTAGTTATGAGTTTCTATTCTTTGTAATGGCTGTTTCATATCTTCTCCACTTTCCTCAGACATCTGATGCCCTCCACCTCCCCTGGCCTACACTTTCAGTGGACACATAACTCATTCTTCGTGGAGAAAACTGAAGCCCTTAGAAATTTCCCACCTTGCCTACCCCTACTCCTTCCTGCTCCTCTGCCCGTCCCTTCTGTGACAATGAAGAAATCTGTGAAAGCTCCATCAATGGCTTCATATACATGCTATCAGAAGCCCTCCAATGAGGGCTTGCACGCCTCTACAGGGACATGACGAAGGTAGATGGACACAGATCGTTTTAAAGGAATCCGTTTCTAGAGTCTCCTCTTTCATGTTTCCTCTTCTCACACTGACAAGCCTAAGAATCATCCTTAGGTCTTCCCATTCTCCTTCCCAACCTTCACTTTCCCAGCTGCTCTCTCTCCCGTATTCCGAATACTATTCTGGCACCTTGCTCTGCAGTATAAAAACAAGTACAAGGACCACTTGGGAATGCTCTGCTTGAGGAAGTCCTCCCCGGAGAGCTTCTTGGAGAAGTTTCAAAGGGGATCATCCTATGGCATAGTTCTGTGCCTTCTTAATTTAAGAATTTAAATTTGAAGCTGGATGCAGTGGCTCACGCCTGTGATCCCAGCACTATGGGAGGTGAAGGTGGGAAGATTTTTTGAGTCCAGGGGTTCAAGAGCAGCCTGAGCAACTTGACGAGACCTCATCTCTACAATAAATAAAAAAATTAGCCTGTGGTTCCAGCTACTTGGAAGGTTGAGGCAGAAGGATCACCTAACTAAGCCCAGC